ACCGGTGGTGGTGGCGGCGGCCCCTGTCTTTGAAATTCTCTCCAGACCCTGCTCGTGGGCTAGCCCCCTTTCCTGGCTGGCTTCTCATATTTCTGGTTTAATCTTTTCCCTCTAAGTGCTCTACTCATTTCTTTTTTAATTCAAAAGGTATGTATTTGTAATCTGACAAACAGCCAAATGCAGTGGCTCATCCTTGTAATCCTAACACTTCGGGATACCAAGGTGGGAGCACCACTTGAGGCCGGGAGTTCGAGACCAGCCTGGACAATGTAGTCAGCCCTGTCTCTACAGAACATCAAAAACTTAGCCACGTGAAGTGGCCTGTGCCTGTAGTCCCAGCTACTTGGGAGGCTGAGGCAGGAGGACCACCTGAGCGTGGGAAGTCAAGGCTGCAGCAAGATGAGATTGTACCACTGCACTCCAGCCAGGGTCACAGAGAAAGTCCTCGTCTCGATTGGAGAAAAAAAAAATCTGAAGCCAACTCTTCCAGGAAACCACAGCTATGCATTAATTCACAGCTTCTATGATGCTAGAGCATTTTTTATTAGAATCAGACACAATCACGAAAACTGTCCCACTTCAAATGCCCAGGAACGACGTCAACAAATTCCAAAGAATGAGCTGTTTACTGTGAACACTATGGAAAGAAAAAAGGCGCAGAGTCTGACTTTATCCCTGAGCCCTGAGAAGTAGGGACATTTTGTCCTGTGGTATTAGGAAGAGACAGAGTCTCCACAGTGTCGTCACCAGCACGCCCTCAGCTTCACAGCAACGCAGTTAAGCCCCCAGTGGCCTTTTTCTGGGGCCATTGTCATATATGCTGGCAGCAGGTTTGAAACAAGAACTGCTACATGTAAAACATTTAAAAATTTAAATATAATCTAAACATTTCAGTTACAACGATATAATGAGAGAAACTTAAGGTTACCAGAGACAGTATGTTTTTAAAGTGTGTTTGTTAGACTTAACTGTGGTCCTAGATAAGATGGCCTCAGCACGTCTATCCAGGTTTCCAGGAGCCGTGCCTAGGAGGACTCACCCCATCACCTGGCAGAGTTGAAGAACCTTTGCCAAATATGTAAAGAAGCTGGGTAAAGGTGAACAAAGCAAGGTTCTTCTCATGGGGAGGTGAGTAGCCTGACGATGCCCGTTTGTGCAATTTGCTCCGTGGCCCTGGGTATAGGTACAAGGGCTCTGGGCAGCCTGTGCCCAGCTCTGCCCAGTGCGACTCTGAAGTCTCATTTTCTTCCTGCCATGCCACTAACAGCACAGCCTTATGTGTAGTGTCTGGAGGCACCCTAAGTGTTGAGGATCTTCTAAAATGGAGCCCATATTCTGCTTGCTAGGGTTAGGGTCACCTGGGTCCTCGCCCCCGTGAGCCACAGCCTTACTCCAGGTCTCTGGTAATCTTGCACCCTGGTCCTGCTTGCTCTTGTGTCCTCAGACCCCGTGGTGGGTCCATGGAGCCCTTCAGGGGCTGAGATCTCACTGGCACCTGTGTCTCCAGTGCCAGGTTTTTGTCTGTGACATGTCCCAGCTGGTACTGGAGACTCTGCGTCTGCTTTGTCCGTCCTTTTTTTTTTTTTTTTTTTTTTTTGAGACGGAGTTTCGCTGTTGTTGCCCAGACTGGAGTGCAATGGCACGATCTCGGCTCACCGCAACCTCCGCCTCCTGGGTTCAAGCAATTCTCCTGCCTCAGCCTCCCGAGTAGCTGGGACTACAGGCACGCACCATCATGCCCAGCTAATTTTTTGTATTTTTTTAGTAGAGACGAGGTTTCACCTTGTTGACCAGGATGGTCTCAATCTCTTGACCTCGTGATCCACCCGCCTCAGCCTCCCAGAGTGCTGGGATTATAGGCGTGAGCCACCGCGCCCGGTCTGCTTTGTCCGTTCTGAGGGTGCGCCAGCGCCTGTACACCGCTCACCGCTCCCGATTCGGTTTCTGACGTCCTCTATTCCTGCTAGCGTTCTTGGTTTTGAAGGCCCTGCTCCTGGGTCCTGGAAATTCTTTTAACTTCATTTTTATCCCAACCACAGAAATGTTAAAAAGTATTTCTTCTTCCTTGATGGCAAACTTTGCTTCCTGAAGAACAAGTTGATGCAGGCATAGCACATGGGATGCGTGACCTCCTCTCGGTGGAAGGCCCAACTCAGGTGACCCCTCCTCCCTCCACCTCTCCCTCAGCTACCCCTACTGTTCCCACTGCTGCCAACTCTCCAGCCTCAACTTCCTGTGTACCTTTTAAATGCGAGCACCCCCACGCTTCCCAACTCTCTTCTCATCCTCTGCTCTCTCCACACTGACCTCATCCAGACCTGCAGCTTACCCAGCATGGTGGTACCCACGTTCCAAATGCCTCCTTTCTGAGCCCGGCATGACCCCGCAGCCTGCCCACTGAGCATGCAGAGCTGCACTGCAGAGACTTCATCCTTTTTATCTTCCCCAGAATGATGGCATCAATATCTCCTCACTGTGGGAATGGCAGTGCTACCCCCCAACCCTGCACACCCCCAGGCACCCACACCAGAGCCCCACACCATCCTCATGCTCTGCCTGGCTCAGAGCTCCATCCCAGCAGCCCCAGCCAGGAAGAGCCTTTGTTTTCAGAACAGAAAGACCTGCTATTCCCTGACCTTTAAATGCATGCTCATGCCTTGGTGCTTCCAAACTGCTGCGTGTTCTGCCAGACCTCGTCCACGCTGAGGCCCCTGGCCTGCTCCAGGACACTCTCCAGCCCTCTTGCCTGCCGTGGGAGTGAGCAGCCCCATCTGTGTTTTCTTAGCAGTGAGCCTGTTAACATTTTTCACTTTCATTTTGAAACTTTCCTTTCACCTGAAGGTGGGAACTTTAGCTTCCAGCTATTTCTCCAGCACAGAAGGGAGGGAGGGCGGGCAGAATGCTGAGTGCTAGGTGGCCATCTCCCTCCCTGCAATCCTTCCTGCTCTACTGGGTCCTGGCTCCTGCTTCAGTTCAGCCAGTGGGAGCTGTGGGGGAGGCCGGGAGGCAGGACAAGGGACCCATGTATTTCTGCTCCCACTGTCTGCGTGTGGAGCAGCTTCCCATGTCTAGGGCTCCCAACGCTGCTTCTCACCCCTCAGGCTCAGAGGTGGCAGCGCCCCTGAGGCTGCTAACACGGTCACAGTCCCTTCACTCTCATCTCTTCAAGATGCCAGAGATGCCCCTTCTCATTTCCCAGCGGGACCCTGACTCAGAAAGAAAAGATTTTGGAAACTCTTGACAGCGTAAGTTAACATAATGAGTAAAAAATACTGTTTTTTGATTAAAATATCCATAGTTATAAAGAAAAAACGGGGAAGGAGGACAGAAAGAAAAACTGAAAGATGCTTAAGGAGCTTACAATTTTTTCTCATCAATTTTAGGGGGAACATCTTCAGATATCTAAAGTGAATTACTTGATCAGCATATTAATAACACAGTATTTGGGAGCACTTTGGGATTACTTTTAGGAAACTGGCAGAAATGATCTAGGGCGTTCCGAAACATCGCTCACCGGGTTCCCCGATGTTAACTGTGGCACATCTGTCAAAACTGAGAAATCAACGTTGGGGTGTTGCTGTTGACTGACCCGCAGGCTACCCAGGCGCACCGGGTTTCCAGTCATGTCCTTTATCTATTCCAGGATGCGTTCGAGGCACCACGTGACGTTTGGTCATCACGTCTCCGTCTCTTCTGGGACACAGGTAATCTGACAGTTTCCTTATTTTTGGTGACCTTGACCAGTTCTGATTTGACAGTTTCAATTCTCATTAGCTTCAGGTTTCCCTATGATTTTTTTTTTTTTTTTTTTTTTTTTTTTTTTTTTTTTAGCACATTGAGCATATTTGTCAAAGCTGTTTTCAACACCAGTGTGTGCTAATTCCATCCTTTCATTTCTAGGCCTGTTTATTTTTATTTAAGACCTTTATTAGGCCGGGTGTGGTGGCTCCTGTAATCTCAGCACTTTGGGAGGCCAAGGCGGGCAGATCGCGAGGTCAAGAGATCGAGACCATGGTGAAACCCCGTCTCTACTAAAAAAAATACAAAAATCAGCTGGGCGTGGTAGCGCACATCTGTGGTCCCAGCTACTCGGGAGGCTGAGGCAGGAGAATTGCTTGAACCTGGGAAGTGGAGGTTGCAGTGAGCTGAGAATGCGCCACTGCACTCCAGCCTGGCGCCCGGCAACAGAGCGAGAGTCGGTCTCAAAAGAAAGACCTTTATTAACAGGCGCTTGCAGTTACTTCTTTGAAAAAATCAAGTTGTTAAGTTTTACTACAAATTAAACATGAAATTCTTAAAAATCTCAACTTGACCAGATGCAAAACAACTTTAAAACCTTTAAAGGCATATTGAGAAAAACCGGACATTTTTTTTTTATGTTTACTATTTTATTATGTTAAATGATACAGATGAACAGCTGTAGGGCAAAGTATGTGGGAAAAGGTAAGGAGCTTCCATAACTTCTCTAGCACTGCCGTCCTCCCAGCACATCTTTATGTGTTTCCTGGAAGCTCATTTTTTGGAAGCTTCGTCACATACACATGATCAATTATCGACTCAATGACCAGCCTTTATCCCCCTCCTGGAGCATGGAGGTGGAGCATGATACTAAAAGTTTCAAGCTCCTAAGAACGGCTTGGTCTTCCTGGCACCCAGCCCCAATCCAGGAGACCAACAAAAGTAGCCTGTTGGAACAAAGATGGTTCTATCATCCAAGCAATTCCAAAGGATTAGTGCTGTGTGTCAGAAACGGGTCAAAGTGAGACAGAGTTTCCCTCTTGTTGCCCAGGCTGGAGTGCAGTGGCGCAGTGTCGGCTCACTGCAACCTCTTCCTTCCAGGTTCAAGCAGTTCTGCCTCAGCCTCCCAAGTAGCTGGGATTACAGGTGCCACCATGCCCTGCTAATTTTGTATTTTAAGTAGAGACGGGGTTTCACCATGTTGGTCAGGCTGGTCTCGAACTCCCAACCTCAGGTGATCTGCCCACCTCGGCCTCCCAAAGTTCTGGGATTACAGGCATGAGCCACTGAGCCTGGCTAAAACCAGGCGTTTTCAAAAAAAACTTTGTTATTACCAAAAAGAGATGTCTTTAGGTAAAAATACTAAAAACTCCATGCCACACAGATAATGCAGATAGTTCTAGTTACCTGGTCAGTGGACAAAAAGCAAGCACTTAAGGTCTCCAGCTCCAACTTCTCATTCATTTCGTATGGCTGGAATTTCCTAGTTCTTCTTGCTGGATGACTGAACTGGGTGATGGTGGAGATGGCGGCCGGCATTGACTCAGCCCTGCCCTGCTCAGCCTCGGAGCAAAGAATTCTCAGTTGGCAGATTGGCCGCCTCCATCTTGTGGTTTAGGGTTGTCTGGGCGACCGAATCAGGGTCCCGACGCTGAGGTGGCTGCTAACCTTGGGTCTCATCTTGTGGATTTTCTTTATCCTCTAATTGCTGTCCTCTCTAGGCTGTCTTCGGTGAGGAATTGTGGTCAGCATCCCCAGTACTTGCTGTCCTGCTGGTCTCCCCGTTCCCTGCACTCCTGGCTGTTACCCCTCTACTTGTCACCCTGGTATCTGTCACCCCTGCATCTGTCACCTCTGCCTCTGTCACCCCTGCATCTGTCACCATTACGTCTGTCACATCTGCATCTGTCACCCCTGCATCCGTCACATCTGCGTCTGTCATCTCTGCATCCATCACATCTGCATCTCTCACCCCTGCATCTGTCACCCCTGCACCTGTCACTCCTGCATCTGTCACCTCTGCCTCTGTCACCCCTGCATCCATCACATCTGCATCCATCACCCCTGCATCTGTCACCCCTGTATCTGTCACATCTCCGTCTGTCACCCCTGCATCCATCATCCCTGCATCCATCATCCCTGCATCTGTCACCCCGCCTCTGTCACCCCTGCATCTGTTACATCTGCGTCTGTCATCTCTGCATCCATCACATCTGCATCTCTCACCCCTGTGTCTGTCACCCCTGCATCTGTCACCCCTGCATGTCACCTCTGCCTCTGTCACCCCTGCATCCGTCACCTCTGCATCTGTCACCCCTGTGTCTGTCACTCGTGTCTGTCACCCCTGCATCCATCACATCTGCATCCATCACCTCTGTGTCTGTCACCCCTGCATCCGTCACATCTGCATCTGTCATCCCTGTGTCTGTCACCCCTGTGTCCATCACCCCTGCGTCCGTCACCCCTGCGACTGGCACCCCTGCATCGCTGCTCCCTGCCCCGAGGCTGGAGACCTGCAGCCTCCCATGGAGGAAAGGAGCACCTGCATCTGCGGTGGGGCCGGCGGGGTGGGGCCCGGCCTTCGGGGCACTGTGTGATCCCTCCTCTTCCCCACTCTGATGATTCTGGTGATTCTGCGGGTGATTCTGGGGAAGACCCCACGTCTGGGATGGTTACCGCGGCCGTGTGTTTACTACCCTGATCTGGGCCCTGGAACCCTTGCTGCCCTGTACCCGTTTCTCCTTCAGCCTCAGACTCCGCAGCCTCCCAGCTCCTGTGCTGCGGGGTCCTTCCTGGGCGTCTCCTTCTTCATCGCAGTCAGGTGAACAGACATCCTCCTTGGTGTCATTCCTGTTGATGAAACCATGTCAACCATATCCATTCCTTACCCTGAACCGTTGTTCCCAAAACCTTTGCTGGGATGACCTTCTCTGCTGGGGCCACTGCCCCCCAGTACCAGGCTGGGTGTGAGCAGCCCCGGGGCGGGGGCTGCAGGGGCGGCGACAGTGCCTGGGGTGTGATGGCAACGAGGCCATCTGCTCCGGGATCTGCTCCCACTCCTGCTACCGATCCAACTCTCTAGGCCTGTTTAAATCATCTTCTTCTCCTGGTGATGGTTATTTTTTTTGGACAGAGTCTCACTCTGTCGCCCAGGCTGGAGTGCAGTGGCCCAATCTCAGCTCATTGCAGCCTCCGCCTCCTGAGTTCAAGAACTCCCTCCTCAGCCTCCCAAGTAGCCTGGATTACAGGTGACTTCCACCGCGGATGGCTGATTTTTTTACTTTTAGTAGAGACGCGGGTTTCCTCATGTTGGTCAGGCTGGTCTCGAACCCCTGACCTCAGGTGATCTGCCTGCCTCAGCCTCCCAAAGTGCGGGGATTCCAGGGGTGAGCCTGGCCACTGTGCCTGGCTGGCTTCTTCCTTTGAAGAACTTTTCATGAGTCCGATAGCACTTTTACCCTTGGCCAAGTCAGCTCCACTCCTAAGGCATGGCCCTTTGGGAAACACCCTGGGCGCCCTGAGCTGTTGTTTTTTTTTTTTTGAGACGGAGTTTCACTCTTGTTACCCAGGCTGGAGTGCAATGGCGCGATCTCGGCTCACCGCAACCTCCGCCTCCTGGGTTCAGGCAATTCTCCTGCCTCAGCCTCCTGAGTAGCTGGGATTACAGGCGTGTGCCACCATGCCCAGCTAATGTTTTGTATTTTTTTTTTTTAGTAGAGACGGGGTTTCACCGTGTTGACCAGGATGGTCTCGATCTCTTGACCTTGTGATCCACCAGCCTCGGCCTCCCAAAGTGCTGGGATTACAGGCGTGAGCCACCGCGCCCGGCCAGAGGCCCCTTTTTAAGTTCCTTTCCCTGTGCCCCAGTCAGGAAGCTGTCTCTGGGTGGGGAGAGGCTTGGGCTCAGGGTTACTGTCCCGCCAGTCCCCGGGAGCCACTGGCTGAAGCGTTGCTGCACATGTTTTTCTACTTCTAGTTTTTTACTCCAGGAGGACAAGTCCAGATCCTGTTACTCCTCCTTGGCCAGAGCAGAACTTCTGTTTTTTGTTTAAAATGTTTCCTTCTTGTCAAATTCTGCTTCTTTAAAGCCTTTGCCCCCGTGTTCCTCCTTACCGCGTCTTCATTTCTCACGCTTCGAGTTCTGCCCCCATGTTGAGTTTTCGTTTGTTCTGTACAGTGCTCTCATGTCGCTCTCCCTTTAATGCCTTAAGCTTAGTTTTGAATCGGTACGTTCCAGTTGGGTTGGTTCTGTGAGCACGTCCTTCCAGAGTGCTTTCCTTAGACAGGTGTCATTTAGCTCTTTTTTTCTTCTACTTCCTACGGGATTTGGCCTTGATCTGCTTCTGTTGCTCATTTGGTGGGAACCGAGTTTCTGGACTTGGAGGAGGGTGGCTCAGACATCTTTCCCAGCTTTGCTGGCCTCCCTCCCTCTTCTGTTTTCCTGCGGTGTTAAAGATATGGTCACCTCCTTCTGCCATTGCCTGGCTTCGCTTCCCTGCCGTACTTCTCCAAGCTGTGTCTTTCCTTTTTCTCTATTATAAATAATATTCACTTGTTACTATTTCTCTATTATCCTGTCTTGCTCAATTTTGACTCTATGCCCTGGCAACATTTCGTGAGTTCAAAGGAACTAGAAGGCTTCATCCCTAAGTCCTTCCTCCCCAGGGCCCCCGCGCCACCCATGTGGAGAGGGAGACGCCACCGCAGTGTCTGCTGCTCTGACTCCTTAGGTTCCTGCGGCCACCGCTGCCTTTCCGCCTCCCCCTCCTCCCCTCCTCCCCTCCCCCCTCCTCCCCTCTCCCCCTCCCCTCCTCCCTCCTCCCCTCCCCCCTTCTTCTCCTCCTCCCCTCCTCCCCTCC